GTGAAGGGTTCTGGGGGTCAGGAGTTCAGGGGGCGGGTGTGGACGAAAGTGCAGGGCAGAGGCAGTGTTGACTGCGCGTCTGGCTTTGGGGAACGCGGTCAAGCGCTGGTGGCCGGGTCAGCTGTCGGCGACGGGGCTGCCTTTGGCTCGCGCCGCCTTTTCGAGCTATCTGCTGAGGCGGCAAGTCGCCAGGGTGGTGGGGCCCGGGGGGCATCCGCGGGAGCAGACGCATGCGTTGCCGCCCTGCGGCCGCCCTGCAGGCTGCTGGCACCGGAGGAGCCCCAGGGCGCGAAAGGCAAGGGCAAGGCGGCGGGCCGCGGCCGCGGCGGCCGCGACGACGGCGTGCCAGGCGCCGCGGGGGCGGGCGGGGACTGGGGAGACGAGGCGGAGGGCGACGGCGGGTTTGGCGGCGGCCTGGCGTCGGGCGCGGAGAGTGGCGACAGGTGGGGGCCCGCTGTCGCCGGGGCGAGCGGTTGCGCCGGCGGCGGCGTGTGTGGTGGCGCGAGCGATCTCGACCCCGGCTGCAGCTGTGGGCCGCGTCGCAGGTGCTTTTGTGCCTGCTGTCATGGCGGCCCCTATCGCCCTTTTTCGCCCCCGCCGCGGCTCCCGCTCCTGCGCCCGCTGCTCCGCCCGCCAGCCGCTTTTCGTCGCGGCGGTCGGTCGGTGGCGCGCAGCAGCGCGCACTCCTTGGCTCAAGCCGCGTCCCCTCGCTTGTGTGTCATGGCGTCTGCGCATCGGTGCCCGACACTCTTCTCTCCGTCCCCCACCCCGCCCCCAAACAGGCCGCCCCCCGGCGCGCGTGGCGCCCACCAGCGCAAGCCGCCGCCAGCGCTGCTGAGCGGGGCCGGGGAGGAGAAGCTCAAGCGCCTGTTTGAGGGGCTGTGCGCGGACAAGCACAACCTGGAGCGGCTCACCGAGGGTGAGGCGCACCTCATACACAGGCTGTCCTTTGCATCTCATCTTGGGATCTGGCCTCGTCCGACCGCCCATCTGTCATGAGGTTAAGTTTGAACTCGGGGCGTGCCATGACCCGTTCGACAATGCACCACCGACTGGGGACGCGTGCACCCCTCATTCCCCCTCAAAACACACCGTCACGCAACACACCGCCTCGCCCGACAACGCCCCCCTCCCTTCCGCCCTGCAGCGCTGGGCGCATCGCTGAGCACCAAGCAAGTCGCGAGGGAGCTAAGGCGTTTGGGCCTCAAGTTCGGGTCCCTGCCGGCCTGGCTGGCGCCGCGGCTCGCCGAGCTGTGGGTGGCGGCCAGGGGCAAGGGCGGCAAGGGGGAGGACCTGGAGGAAGTCGCGCGGCAGCTGCCGGGCGGCTGGTCGGCCAAGCAGGTGCGGCGGGGGCTGCCCGCGGCGCCGCGAGGCCAGGGGCACAGCAAGGGGGGTGGCCCGCAAAGGCAGGGGGCCGCTGCGATGAGGGGGGGAGGCGGGGCTGCGAGGGGGCCGGGCCGGCGGCGGCAGCGGTGGGTGCTCTTCCATGCCCGCAGCACGGCGGCCGAGCATAGGCCTGCTGATGTGAAAGCCAACCAGGTCATTGGACGTGACAAAATATGCACGCGCGTGTGTGTCACTCCGACGGTCACCAGGTCAGGAAGCTGCTCAAGGACCACGGCCTGGTGGGCGGCGGCGCCGCCGGCCGCCGCCGCCGCGGGCCCGGCGCGGGGCGGGGCGGCGGCAGTGACGGGGACGACGGGGGGTGGGAGTCTGACCTGGAGGGCGCCGACCCGCTGCTGGAAGCCGAACGGTCGGTGGTTGAGGACCTGTACTGCCGCCACCTGGCGCACAACGACTACCTGGAGAAGGTGGGGGGGCGGGCAGCCTTCCTGGGAAGCTGCTCGGCGGCCGCCTTGGCGTGTTGCGGCACCGGTGGCCGTGCGTGTAGGTGCCTGGCCGAGCATGTTGAGGCTGGCGCTGGAGAGCCTTGCGCCTGCTCCCGCCTTGCGTGGCCCCTTGCTCCTCACCCCGTCCCTCCGCCAACTCATACGCCGTGGTATGGACCCCTGCCCTCCGCTCCCCAGATGGCCGCGGACCTGCCGCCAGAGCTGGGCGCCACCCCGGCGTCTGTGCTGGCCACGCTGCGATTCATGGGCATCGCTGCGCGGCCGCCGCCCGACAAGAAGCGGCAGCCCAAGCCCCGCGCGCGCCGCGGCGGCGGCAGCGGCGAGGGGCGCGGCAGGTGCGGGGACGGGGCGCGCTGCTGCGTGCGGGGCGCGCCGCCGCTGGCCGCCCGGCTGCCTGCTCTACACAGCCTTCGTGGGTGGAAGAGATCCAATGGTGCCCCCAGGGCTAGGAGCCCATCACATCCCCTCTGC